GTAGATTCTTACCGAACAACCAGACAAATGATATAACAGATAGCTTGTTACTTGTTTCTTCTAAGTAACGAACCGTGGCAAATAGTGTAAAATACTGCAACAATTAAGGGTAGGGACAGCCAACAATAAAAAAAGTGATGAGTAGCAAAACACAGTCCGCTACAACTGACCTTTCTTCTCTGCTACAATTCGTCCTTGGTCCCAACATGCTTTCCTGGATATCTGCATAATTTTTGACAATCCTTCCATCCCTCCTTCTCACTGTGCCTCATTCCTTAGATTTTTCTTCTTCACTGAGACTGCATAGACTTTTAATCTGCATAGGACTTTTAATCTCTTTAGACTCCATATTAGGCCCTCTTCCATCCTCTCTGATTAGCTGCTGTCGTTATGATGAGTTGTCCCATTAAGTACACACCTTGTTCCAAGATACACAAACCACACGTACACTCTTCTCCTAAAAGAGCATTTGTTTGCCTTCAAGTCCCTTATATCATGGTTTCTCCCTTCTGTACAAATAACTTTTACCACATCAGCTGAATCCTTCTTTCTCTAAGTAATGGGGATGTGATTTACACATGTCCCTGGATAGAGAGCAATGGGATCAAATTTTCTCACTCACACAAAAATCCTCATTTAGCACCCAATATCATGAGACAGGATAAATAGATGACATGCTCGTACCGCACCCTTAAGACTCTAACTCAGATTTATTCTACTGCTGACCCATAGTGTTGGAGATTTGGGAGGGAACTGGGTTCACTAGTTCACATTTGATAGGATTGTCCTTTCATATAACCTTTCGGGCTGAAGATCCATGAACTGGTCTCCTAGATAATGGATTCTCTTCTCCCATTCACTATGCGAACATATTTATGACATCTCACAAAACATCACATTCTAATCTATCAAAAATCAGTAATTCTTCACCTAATTAATGGAGAGTGCAGCTTTATCAGCAGGTTCTAGAAGCAAAGAGTAATACATATTCTTACTTTAGTTTTGAATGTTGAGGAATACTTGCCTAGTTTTAAATAAATGTGATCTTCTCCTGCTGCTAATTGGGCAGAAGAGCTATGTTCGATCCTCTGGCGATCCAGAGGGAGCAGTGATCATGGTTACTGGTGGTCAATTAGGGGCTGTAACATAGAATCTAATCTAATCTAGAGCTAATGGTCTGCACTTCTAGTCGAATGTCATGAGTGCACCCAGTGATCTGCATCTGGCCAAGGTATGGAACACAACAATGATCAGGATACAGATCTTGTCAGAAAGATCTAACTACAGCTGCCTTGTGCATGCATATGATGTTTTGTATGAATGTCAAACAATGTCTCATCTTACCCCGAGGTCGCTTGCAAACACCTCCAGGGATATTGTAAACATTCAGACTAGGGTCTGGAAACTTTGTTAACACAGACACTATAATACATTTGAAATTTTCCTAGTAAGCTGAACCATCCTTGCACATCATCCCTCTTAAGTTCCTATACTTAATTCCCTCTGCACAAAGCAAAAGCATGTGAAGAGTAGTAAAACCCAAAAAATAACCATGGGCATGGGCCTCGAGCTACAGCTCCATTAGCCCCTATTGTAATCCGGCCCTGGTTAAAGGGCCCAACGTGGGCCACAGCTCTCGACTGGCCCTCTGAGCAGAGTATGGGCTGTAATGTTTTGATAGGAACCCTGATGGTATGTCCTGCCTTATGATCCGTTAAAAGAAGAAGACACAAATGTCTAACTTTGTTGTAAATCAGCATATTAATGTGAAGCAGGAAGAAGGAAATGTATATGTGCTCAAAAAAAGAAAATAGATAAATGTTTGAATCCACTCCAACACTGAAAAAAAAAATCAAAAACAGTTTTAACTTTAATACAAGTCTTGTAATTTACATAATAACAAGTGAAAACTGCAAGATCCAATTTCCAGGACAGACTGAAAGAACATCAATAAGAAGAACCGTACAACACCTAGGGGATTTTGTCCAACAAAGGTAAATGTATGACTGGTAGCTAGACATTGTGTCAGCAAAAATCTCAAATTTATAGTGCTTTCAGGTCATAGTGAAATATGATATACTATTGGGTGTTTTGACTTCAGATAAGATTCCCACAAAGAACTAACCCAGGGTGGAGTGTAAAATGTATTCTTTAAGTTGTTTATCTAAATCAGAATGCAGTATGAAACACAACACTTGTCTATGCTCATTTACATGTTGTCACGGTTTACGTTATTTGGGAGTCCGGTAGGCACATATTTGTGCTCACCCTTGCAGATAAACACAGCCCACCGTAACCAGATCAGAAGCTACCTGGGCTGTGACTCTGTGCACGGGTGCTTAGGCAGGAACAGTAACCGGGGACGAGGAAACAGACATGGGCAAATCCAGAAGAGTAGTCAGACACGGTTCCAAAAGTCAGGGCAGGCAGCGAACAGGCAATAAGGAATAATCCAAACAGAAAGGGTCACAAGCCAAGTCAGTCTTAGGATACAGGATACAGGATATACAGGATACAAGGAACTGACAATGTTCTTAGGGAAGGGCAGTGTTTTATGCCCAGCTAATGAGTGAACTGTCTCAGGTGAACTTAGATGGAGAGGTAGGAGCCACTGGTGATGTCCAGCCCCCTAGTGCTGCAGGCAATGTCAGGAAAACAAGGTTAAACCAAACTTTAGAAGTGGCTCAGAGGCATGAACTCAACATTAGGATGCAGAAGGCCCTAGGTTCAAATCACCTGTTGGACCCTTCTGGTGACCACACTTGGATTGCACGGTGAGAACTGTGACACATGTCAAGCTGGGAAATCTGGGATAATTGTGGAAACATTATTTCTTAAGTTTATATGTGCAAGAAGGACTTATTGAAGTTCTTGACATATGCTAGTAATCCAAAAAATAAAAATAGGTGCGCTGTATCTTTAAATGTTAAAAAGTGCAAATAGTGCAATAATATGTGCAAATATTTTGTGCAAAAACACAGAGTGTGTATACAATCACATTCAATGTGGCATAAGTGCAAAATGCAAATGTGATAGTGTAAAAATCAATATCCAAGACAAATAACTTACAAGGGAAATATATGTCTCCTTAAGTTCTCCAAATCACATAAGAACATATGTAAAAAGAGATAAAAAATGGAGAAACATAGTATAATATTGTTTACATAAATATAAAGACCAGCAAGTAGAATTAGGAATATCACTCACAAGTGAAGAGCAGTAAAAGCCTGCTCAAACTGATCCAGCTTTGAATCCAAAAACCAGGACTTCAATGTTGGTGTAAATAGGCAGGACACCAGCTTCCCAAATTAAAAACAGCTTTATTGAAAATAAGTAGAATCCACACTCTCCGTTTCCATATAGCAGCCAAATAACCTTTTGCCAGTACTGTGTAATGTATATCTACCAGTCCCTGGTGACTTTCGGTATTACAGACTTCACTTCCTGGAACTCGGAGTTTCGTCCGGTCACGTGATGGCGTGATGACGTAATCGACGTGATGACGCGTTTCGCCCAATCGGCTTCCTCAGATCACATCCTGATGTAGCTAGTCCTGCCTTTTAAAGCCCATACATGGGCGTGGTTTGTATCAATCATTATAGAAACTCCCCATAAACTAATTAGGGGTAGATCTTGTAAATGTCTATATTTAGAAAGTCCATGACACATAAAAACAACAAGAAAAACAAGAAAAACAAGTATAGCATAAGGCTAATCTTCTAATTAAAAAACCTCATCCAAATGACTCATAGAACAGCAGTAGATAATAGTAATAATAATAATAGCACATAGATACTTCTAGTTAGCATCTAATATAATTCCACAAGAGGAAGAATATGTATATGCATATATATACATACACACAGGGTCATATATATACATATATATATATATATATGGAAAAAAAGGGATATACATACACATATAAATCACATATATATTTATATATATAAAATTTACATAAAAAACCTAGGTAAAAAACCAAAATAAAAAACCAAAGGAAGCCTTCTATAAAGGGGAAGAAAAAGGAAGTAAGTTAATAATCTTAAAAAAAAAATTTTTTTAAAAAAATCTAAAAGACAGGCACAAGAGAAAAAAAAGGTCATTAAAAAAAGTTGTACAAATCAAATTCAATATTGAGGCCCTTAGGTTCAAGAGTATTTAATGTATGAACCCATTTCATCTCTTCTTTTCCCAAATGTTGGATAGAATTTCCTCCTCGCCATGATTTTTTAACTAATTGAATCCCTAAAAATGTAAGGCCACTAGGATCGCTATTGTGGTACTTCTTAAAATGGGCAGATACACTATGATGGTCTAAACCTTTACGGATATTATTAACGTGTTCATAAATTCTTTTATGTAGGGGGCGAATAGTCCTCCCCACATATTGCAGCCCACATGGGCATATTAAAAGATATATAATATTTTTAGTAAAACAAGTTATAAAATCCTTAATAGTATATTCTTCTTTTGCATATTTTGTCTTAAACTTACTTATCCCTTTTAAGGTATTATTCTTGCTACACTTACAACCTGCACATTTTCCACAAGAATAAAAACCTTTTTTATTTACATTTAAATTTAAAAAAGTTTCAGGCATCTCCTTTCTTGGATGGTTAAAGGTTAAAATCTGTTTTAGACTAGGTGCACCCCTAAAGGTAATAAAAGGTATATCTGGGATAATTGTCGATAATTCCCTGTCTTTCTTTAAAAGGTGCTAGTAATGCATAACAGTAATTTCTGTGTATATACATATACTGTGTGTGTGTGTGTGTGTGTGTATATATATATATATATATATATATATATATATATATATATATACACAGTTCAAGCAAGACATTAAAATCACTAACATTGATTAAATTGTTGGCATCTGTCAAGTTGGGTCTATATTAGACAGCAAATTAACAGTCAGTTCTTGAATTTCATGTGTTGGAAGCACAAAAAATGGGCACGTGAAAAGATCTGAGTAACTTTAGTGATGGCTAAAAAGTGGGGGGTGCGGGGAGTAGGTTTACTAGTAAACTACAAGAAATTTGCAGTCACTTTTCTCGGATCTGTATTTGAGCCATATGAAGGTAACAACTTAAAGCTTTATTATGTACTGTTGAAAATAGCAACATTTTACGGAATTCATTCAATGTCCATTTCAGGAAGCTGTTTTTCTGCATCAGAAGCAGCTGTATCTGAACTCTGCTCAGCAGCCTGTGGGCCTTGGCTGTTTGTATTACTGTCTACTGGTCCATTCTGCTCACTCGCCTGCTGTTCATCTTTTGGGGGTTCCACCTTGGGCTTCGGTTTTGTGACAATCGGGTTACATGTGAATGTTAGCTCTTTTGTCTTCACTACTGGATCCACTGTTAGATTCTGCTTATGTTGGAGATTCATTTTGTTGTTCATCCATTCCATGGACTCATTTACACTCTTCTCAACCTTTTCTACTTCTGCAGGATCCAGGTGCTCATATGCTTCCTCCTTGTTTTTAAAGCTATGAATCATTTTCATGTAAAGTTGAATTTGTTTTCCTAGTTCTTCAAAAGGTTTTGGTTGTTCTTCAAACTCCTGATAGCGTGTCTGTATAGGCTGACCCAAGTTCTTACGGTCATTTAATTTATCTATATACACTTGTTTAGCCTGATCTTCCCCATCTTCATACAACCAGTTCTCGGTGTCTTCAAGCTTGAGAATGAAGCTATTACGATCATCCTCATTGACAAAGTTCTCATAGATGGAGCACAGCTTGTCCCTCATCTCATACACATATTCTTCAACGGCATTCTTAGCATCATTACGCTCCTTCTCCAGTTTATCTTGCATCATCATTTTACCCTCATTTTCAACAAATAGGTTCAGAGCGTCCCTCCCAATCTGCCAGGTCAGAGGATCTCCAAAACAGAAGGTCTTGTAGGGTGTTCCTGGTATGCAGTTATTGGGGTCCAAGATCGAGTCCGGCCAATCGGAGGACTTGAACAGGTGTTTAAACATCATTATACCTGACACTCATTGCCCTGTCGTGGTTTCCCTAGTGGTTGTCTGAGAGCGCGTTATTTATTCTGGTTATATGACTTTGGCATTGACTTTGACTTCCCTGTTTTCTGGCATCCCTGACCCCTGACTTTACCTTATCGTTGTGTCTCTTTCTGTGTCCCTTGACCTCGGCTATTCCTGACTATTCTTTGGTACGTTAGTCCGGCCATTCTAAGGCCCGGTATACGTTACCTATTAGTCCTCTGTGTTACACAAGTCTACGTGCTGGATCATACAGTAATCCTGACACTGTAGCTCAAATTGCTGAAAAACTTAAAACTGTAAAAACACACAGTGCATCACAGTTTGTTGCGCATTAGGCTGCCCACTGCTGAAAGCTCCTTCCATGTAGTGTCAGCATCAGAGCTGAACCATGGAGCAATGAAAGAATGTTGCCTGATGAATCCCATTTTCTTTAAGATCAGGTGGATGGCCGGATGTGTGCGTGTTGTTTACCTGGGGTAGAGATGGCTGCAGGATGTACTATGAGAAGAAGGCCGGCTGGCAGTGGTATACTCTAGGCAACATTCTGCTGAGAAATCTTGGATCCTGGCATTTATGTGGATGTTAATTTTACACGTACCACCTACCCAGAGATTAGTGCAGATCACATACACCCCTTCATGTCAAATGTATGCCCTGATGGGGCAGAATAATGCACTTTGCCACACTCCAAAAATTATTCAGGAATGGTTTAAGAAACATGACAAAGAGTTCAAGGTATTTACTTGGTCTCTAAATTCTCCAGATCTCAATCTGATTGAGCATCTGTGGGATGGAACAACAAATCCGGTCTATGGAGGCTCTACTTCGCAACTTGCATGATTTAAAGGATCTGCTGCTAATGTTGCTGCTTTCAGAGATCTTGTGGAGTCCATGCCTCAATGCATCAGGACTGTTTTGACAACACAAGGGGGATCTACACAATATTAGGCAGGTGGTTTTAATATTGTGGCTGATCAGGCCCTGGGGAGATAGCGCGGACAAGGGCACATGTAGGAGTGTGGGGATAGATGCGTGGGAGTGTCTTGGGAAGTGTGTGGGGTTAGGTTCTATGTAAGTTAGTGGGGGGGGGGTCTTACCTCAGTGCCACTTGGTATTCGGGCCAGCAAACAGCTTCCCGCCCGCCCAGTTAGTCACAGCGAGCCAAGGGTATATACGTGCCAATTAAGTTTGAGGGGTTATGTTTAAGGATGGAGCAAGTTTCATCATGTTTGCAGGTCTCAACCTCCCCTGCTTCAAAGGGTTAACATTAGGTTGCCTGAGGTGTCGTGCACATTGAGCGTGGATAAGGGGATAAGGTCGGCTGATGGCGGGCATTGGAAGGATATGATTAATGACGAGGGGGGAGGTAAGAGGAAGTGGTGATAAGGAACCACTGTATTTTTATTGGCAAGGATGGATGGGTCACTGTATAAAACTATGTGTTGAGTTATATATGTATATATGTTAATTTATGCTTATTTATGTCTATCAATTTTGGTTACAGAAAAGAAGAGAGTTAATAAATAAAGTTATGGATGTGTTATGCAGTAATTTATTTATGTTATAATAAATGCTGTGGCCTGTTCATCCATACTAAGCTGTCTGTCGTTATTGGGGGGTTGAATGGGGTTAGTTATGTATTATGCTGCATCGTAATTCCCCACTACGTGCATACAAGTGCATATATGTACACAAAAAGTAGAGAAGCACACTCAAATAATAGTGCTATAGAATTGCTTTTATTTGAGCAGTGTAAATTATAAACAAAATAGATCAACGTAGCAGTCTTCATAGGACTTTTCTCAAGACTTCTTGTTTGGTCAGAGCCACTAAGACCATGGCATTTAAATTTTGCTGGGAGGAGGTATATATTTAAATAAATTGTAACACACACAGGACTTCCAGAATGTGATTTATTGTGTCAAACTTCAGATATAACACAGATTAAGAAACAGTGCACACATAAAAATATGTTTTTAAATTAGACAGGTGAAATAAGGCTACTTAAAATCACCTGTCTCAGAAAACAAATATGGGGAATTAGTTTCGCCATTTGGCCATATTGTGTTAAGTCCACCACTACTTCGCAGTACCCCAATTTTACACAAATTCCAACGTGAGAGACAAATTAAATAGTGCTCAATAAGTTTAAGTGTATTTAAATAATCTGTTGTAAGAGCATTGTGAATATATATATATATATATATATATATAATTAAAAATTAATGTGATAAATGCAATTAAAAAAACAAAATCAGTGTCAAAACTAAACAATTAAAGTGATCGTGCTTTGATATATATACTCACAATGCAATAAATATATCTGCAGTATGAAAATTTAAATTAAAGTGAGATAACTTTCCAAAACCTTCTCAAATGTATACCTGTGGTCACCTCCAAAGGGCCTCTGAAGTTAGGGGGCTGGGAAGGGTGCTTAACACCATAGGGAATCTGGTCTGGATTCCAAACTTACATAGTTAAGACAAAAAGGAATTGGGGGGCACACTTGAATGATTAAGGAACAGCGCACACATAAAAATACATTGCAAATGTGCAGTTTAACATTTCAAAGATAGAAGGTCATTATCAAGACATTCTCTATAAGTTCTGTGTATATGTGGGCTCAAAATAAAATATTTTGGTAGTGACAAGTAAGTACATTTAAAGAGCAGTGAATACGTCTTAGAACTCTACATTAACCACTTTGCAACCTAAATAGAGTTGGATTAGCCGTATTAGTAGATTTCAAAGACAAGCTTTCAGGAGTTTTCCTCTCAGACCTGAGGAAGAGAGGAAAACTCTTGAAAGCTTGTCTTTGAAATATTATGTTAGTCCAATAAAAAAGGTATAATTGCATACTGCAATACTCTGGGATTACACATGTATTATGGCCGTTTGGCCTGTAATTGTGGGAGGGGCTTAAGTTAATTCACTTACCTATATAAGGTACACCGCTTACCTGACTCCATACCGCTCAAGGTCAGCTTCTGAATGCACTTCCGGTCCATCCAGTCGCCATTTTGGAATTCCTTTTGTTTTCTCAAGAGGTCTTCTACGCTGAGCTGTGTCCAGGAATCCAGTTGCAGGCTTTTCCGTCCGACCAGCTTCTTGCTTCTTTCCATCGCCGCAGATAACATCCTGGTGACTCGCAAACCATAAGTTGACCTACCCGTTACGCCAGGCAAAAGTCCCACAGCATTATTCATGGGTCAGGTCCTCACTTTACGGTTACTTTCGGTCATAACAATGCTACAATCTGCATGTACAGGCTATCTGTTCGTATATACAGCCGTTCCTTTTCACGGCCAGTTCGTTAATATCAGGCTCTATGCATTTAGCCCCGCTCGGGCATTCGTATACTCCCAAACGGGAAACATACTGTAACTCAATCGGGTAGACATCTCCGTTCGTGCATCTCAAACTACACGAACAGAACCCATGTGTTTCTGTATTCTGTACAACCTTTGCATACAACTGAACGGTTTTTACATAGGTCCCTATCTAAACTATAGATTTTGCCGCACACAGGCTTTTGCATACTCCCGAACGGATACATGCTGCACAGATCTTTTCATGAGAAGTAATTGCCGTTTCGTGCAGTTTAACTGCACGAAAGGGAAAACCTTGGGGTTACAATTTATTTTCTGCAAAGTGCTGGCTTTCGCATACTCCCGAACGGACACACTCTGTAAAACTCCCGTACGGGCTCAATTGCAGGTTAATTCATATTTGTTACAATACTCCAAGACCGACAGGGGCACTACCGACACTGCCAACTACAGGTTGGTCAGTTACATTCACAATTTACTGAGATTTTACAAACATCATCTCCACAGACCTCTACAGGTCAACAACCAAACAGCAACTTTTCCTACACCAATCACTATATGACCAAACTTATAAACGTACATATATTCTCATACAATAGCCAATAAATTGCACATATGTACCCGGTATTTCCATATATATACAAGTGCATAACACACGGGGATTTATCTACACATATATCTCCCGCAAACAATACAACATACACATTCAAGATAGAACAATTTACTTCTACATACGGTACACAAGGGAATAAAAAACCTGGTACATTTAAAACACCATCATGACTACATGGTTGATTAATTACACTTGTTAAAATACCATACTGCATCATACTGCACATAAATTCAGGTAAAACTGGTTTGACAGATTTCTTTATTCTCATACGGTCTCCATTTATTTAGGTTACAGGTACTACTGAAACCTATACGGATTATCAGGTTTTCAAAACATACTTCCAGGTACGTACACCTGCTTACACAGTATATCCATATCTGATCTCCCATGGAATAGTAATAGAGTACTGGCAATTAGGGTTATAGGGTCCAATAGTTTTTTCCTTTCTTTCTCTGTACTGTGCTTCGCATTAGTGGTCCCGCGAGGCTAACACACGCCTCACACTCGGAGGCATACACCCCTTGGGGCATTTGTGAGCTAGCCGCCTCGCATTGTATCATAGAGACGGCCTCACCTGTCACTCCCCTTCCTATTTTCTGGTTACTGTCACCGAGAGGCCAACATCCTGCCGCTACGTTTGGTGGCCACAAAAAATTCCTTGCGCCAATGCATAGATAGAGCCTCTCAAGCCACTTGGCAACTAGCAGGGCCTCACCAGTCACCAAAGAACATAAGCCAGTACTAGACCCCTGGGTTCAAAATAATAATTTCTATCATGTTATTATTTAAGTATGTCTCAAGAAGGTGACATAGAATCGAGACACTTTCACATGGGGGAGATGTTGCCAGTCCAGCATCAATCAGGTCCTGGACTATCTCTCACATCACCACCGAGCTAAGGAGGCGACAAATTCCCTACC